CCCCCCCCCCCACCGTGACATCAAAGTAGAGCTGCCGGTTGTTGAGCCTGATGGTCCTGGTTGTGACCTGGGTTGAGTTATCAGTTACCTTGCTCCAGATGTACCGCTGACCTCCGCCTGGGTGTCCTCCTGAGTTCATCAGGGTATTGTTGCAAGTGGAAAAACATCACCCACCTAAAAGCTCACCCTATTCATCACCACTTCTCCTCCCTCCCCCTTTCCACCCCTGTCTTTCTCCACTTCCTCCCTGTACCCCAGGCTTGTGCTCCTCTCTACTCTTGGCGGACTAAAAAAGACACCCCCCTCTCTGACGCGACAGGAACCTGCTACCTCTCGGTCCATAATTTCACCAAATTCGTGGAGTACGCTCCCTGTCGCACAGGTAACTTGTCACCGCTCTTTAAATCGGAGTGACTTTAATATCAGTGATTCTTCTTAATATTATGGACAGCTGTCCTCTACATAGGAGATCGATAAGGGAACATTTTTAATAATTCATGGGGCATTGCTTTTTTCAGAGATCAGTGATGCTGTGGGACAAGGCTACTGTCAGGGAGGATTCAGTGCCGACTTCACAAAGGTAAAAACCACCTTCCTGTTTGCGAACCACAAATGTCAGAGCCCTTCGGCTATCGTCTGCAACCACAGATACCCGGGACAATCTTGTCTTTTTTTTAATTAAGTAATTTACAGGATTTCTTTCCTTAATCTTTCAGGATGGCAAAGTGGTGTTGGGAGGGCCGGGCAGCTACTTCTGGCAAGGTAAGTCAGACATACTAACCAAGCATTTGAGAATCAGGAAATCCAATCATCGAAATCCATTTTATGTCTATTTTCATATTCATACTTTCTGTTTTCTGTTTTACTTTAGGTCAGGTGATTTCTGCAGCGAAGGAGGACATTGTCAAAGCTTACTACCCAGGTTATTTCATGCAATCTGTGGAGGGCCAGATTCAGACCAAACAGGTCCAGGCTAAACATGATGACAGCTACCAAGGTAAGAGAGGCAGACTAATACCTGCTGCTTTCATAATAAATGGATATTGACACGCTCCTCTATTTGTTTGCCGTGCAAGCTGAAGATGACCTCAGTGCTCCTTCTGCTTTTACAGGCTACTCTGTTGCTGTTGGGGAATTCAGCGGTGATCAAGTTGAAGGTATGTCCATAAAATATGAAGCTACATGGCAATGCAAATATTACAGTTGGAGTAAACACAAACTGAACTCATGTGCAATATTTTACATGATTATTGAGCTGGAAATGTCATCACTACAGGAATTCTCTGCTGTGTATTTTCCCTCCTAAATCTTCGCTTCATCTCTCTGTGCACCTCTCAGATTTTGTGGCTGGCGTTCCAAAAGGACTCATGCTTTATGGTTCGGTAAGAAAGCTTCATCATCACAGTTTTGGCTTTCATTTTGGTCCTTTTAGAGTGGGAGACCTGGGCTTTAGACTTGGGACCGTTGCAGGAAAATAAAAAAAAAGAAAGCAGCCTTATCACAGTGGGAATTATTTGTGCAGTGAATTCCATACCAGAGACTGTGCTTATATTAGAACCAATAAAAAGATGTTCACCACATGTGTCTGCTGTCCTGCAGGTGTGTATTCTGAATGGTACAGATCTGAAGGCCATGATTAACTACACTGGCGAGCAGGTGAGTCTGAGAACTCCTATCTTCACCCTCTTAAGAAATCTCCTTCATGCTTCACTCCCTTTGTATTTTCTTTGCTCAACTCCTCTCGAGAGCTCTTAATTTGTTGAGTCAGTTTAAGCAAAATTAATTTCCTTTGCATCGTTCTCTACACTTGATTTTGGTCTCTTTTGTGGTTTGCTCTAAAGCTCGGGTTTTTGGGGGAACGTGCAGATGTAATTTTGTACAAATGAGTCTGGGAATAGAGAAGCACTGAGCTTGTTTGAACAATCATGATTTACCCAGCTGAAAAAATAAAATCACGAGTGAATTTGTTGCAGTACACGCTGCTTCTACAATGTCCACACTATTTACAGTGACTTTCATGACAGAGCTGGAACAGACACAGAACCAAACTGGGGATAACCTGTAAAACCCATCAGGCCTTTTATGTTTCCTTCAAGCTTTGCTTTATCCTCGTAATGCGGAAAGCACGTTTGAAGATCACAGTACTGTGTCTATTCTTTATGATGTTAAAACCTTTTCATTTGCTAAAGTCAAGTAATCACCTTTGTTCACAGATGGGATCATATTTTGGCTATGCAGTGGCAGCGACTGACATCAACAGCGATGGGTGAGCCGTCCCTGCGCCTGTTTTTCTCACCCTCTCTCTGTATCTTTCTGAAACAACGAGTCGACTGAATCTAGATTGGATGCCACCAACAACTCATTACAACTGGAACCATGTGTCTGATCTAAAATGAGTTTGTGTGATCTTCCTTGTTTTCAGGATGGCTGACCTGCTGGTGGGAGCTCCCATGTTCATGGTCCGGGGCTCTGGCGGCCGGCTTGAAGAGATGGGCAGGGTCTACGTTTACCTGCAGCGTGATCCCCTGAACCTGGAGCTAAGCCTGCCTCACATCACTGGCACCCAGGCGTTTGGTAGATTCGGCAGCACCATTGCACCACTGGGAGACCTGAACCAGGATGGTTTCAATGGTAAGGATGAAGATAGTAGGGAGCTGATTGAATGAGCTGATTGAATTTATGAAATAAATTGAATTAGAATTTATAACTGCATGCATGTAAATCCATTTTTACTCAATGGAAATAGTTGGCCTTTTAACACGAGGCTGCTGTGGCTGAAGTTCAACCTGATTTAGCCATTATTATTTTTCCACAGTAGAAAGGTCTTAACAAAGATCTTTACATCTAAGTCATATGGTAGATCCATGAAAAATACATTTAAAAATCTAATACGTTTCCTGAACTTTTACAGACGTGGCCATTAGCTGTCCCTTTGGAGGAGACGACCAGCAGGGACTGGTCTATATCTTTAACGGATACTCAGAAGGACTCAGGGAAAAGCCATCTCAGGTGATCACTGGCCAGTGGGCTGCTGAAATGATTCCTGCCAGCTTTGGGTTCGCTCTCAGAGGTGCTAAAGACCTGGACATGAATGGATACCCTGGTGAGGGACTCTAGAAGTATTTTGTGACGATCATAGACTTTTTAAAAAACTATTTTTGTTTGTAAATGTTCTCATTCTGTTCTTTTGTCTCCCCAGATCTCATTGTTGGTGCTTTTGGCGTGAATAAAGCAGTTCTTTATAGGTATGTTGTTTTGAATATATACTGTACGTCAGTCACATCTGTCAATTTATCAGAAACACGACCACGACCACATGAGTGTGATAACAATAAGAATGCCCCAAAATGACAGAAAACGTCTTTGAGAAAAATTGATTTGACATGTATTTTGAATTTTTGGCCCATGTGCCATCCACTAACATGGAGGAGATGGGTTTTATGACCTATAAGGCTGCCAATTGGCTTCACACTTAGGATCTTCCTTCTTTATGCACACTTTATGTTTTTGACAGAGCTAGCTATTTTTTTCCCTTTGTCCCCAGTCTTTGTGCAAAACTAAGCTAACAATCTCTTTAACAGACACTGTCTCACTAATTCCTTTCAGGCAGGAAATATGGAAATTAACATGCATCCTTTTCGTTACCCACAGATCTCGCCCCATAGTGAACACCAGTGCCTCTCTGATAGTTTCCCCCACCATGATCAACCCTGAGGAGAAGAACTGCATTGTCACCAGCGGGAACACCAGCGTCCCTGTTTCCTGGTGAGTGTTTCAGCTCGCTCAGTACCCACCACTCTGTATTTGTTTTATCCAACTGCAAAAAGATGCACTTCCTGGCATCCTGGCAGGAAGCCCTGATAAGGAATAGCCCTCCATCGGTAGTCACGTTATTCATTTGCACCGGGCACAGCCCTTATCTGAACCTTTTCCAAAATGTCCTCATATCACAATGTTTCTGTTGAGGCGCAGAGAAAGAACCTGCTGAATAGCAGCATTGTAAGCCCCGTGTCTTTTGGCGTCTCTCAAATGTGCACAGTGTTTGATTCCAGAAGAGGGGAGAGGAAACAGATGACTGTTGCTCGCTGCTCAACATGGTTGACACTGTGCTCATGTGTCCGCTCCCCCCCCTCCTCCAGATCCTGATCCATAAAGGAAACTCTTGTATACACATGTGTCTTGATTATGCTACGTTGCCTGGTGATGAGGAGTTTTTGGTGGGGGTGCAGGGAGAGCAGGAGGGATAATGGGAGGGAGTGTGGGAGGGGAGGGGCTGTAAGGTTTTTCGGAGTTGCTTTGAATGAGATATTGTTTGGTGGTGGAACACAGCTGGGAAACATCAGGACACGTAGACTGTGTGAGCGTACGCACACAGCTGTGTAGAGACAGGCCGACACAGGAGTACACAAAGTTTTTTACTACTACTCAAATGGACTCCTTCTATCCTTTGTGTCTTTCTGTCTCGTTTTCCACTTCTCTTCCATTTCCTGGGTTTTTTCCTCAACACACCCCTGCTTTTGTTTTCCCAGTTCTTCCAGTTTTTGCTACTTAACTAGTAAAAGGACTAAGGGGTTGGGGGTTGCAGGCTTTTGGACAGTGTTGTGCGGCTGATGTCATGGGAGCGAGCTACAGGCTTATATAGACAGCCATTGACTGGTCAGCACTGTAACCCGAGTCGTTGCCCAATTTCACCCTTCTTAACTCTGCTATTCCTTTGTGTGTGGCGTGGTGGCCGGGTGGAAAACGGAGACGCGCCGATTTATCAGCCTGGCTCTGAGAAAGAACTCAGATGCCAGCATGTCTCCAAGCATTTGTCATTTCTTTCATATTATTCATTGTATTCCCATTACGCCCCGTGCCTTGTAACGTGAGCCATGTAAGGAGCTGACTCGAGAGAAGTAGAGCAGGAGAGAAAGTGGAGAGAACAAGCGAGGGCAAGTGAGGTGTCTTCTGTGTGCGAAATATTTATACTGAATCTCTGCCATCAACGAATATGCTTCCCTCATCAAGTCCTTGTCCCCTCTGTCCAAAACAGTGTCAACCTGAGTTTCTGCATATCTGCTGATGGGAAGCACCTACCAGACATTCTAGGTGAGCCAAGAAGTTTCCTACATTTGCTCTTGATTACAAGTGAAGAAACCTGTCAAATAATAGTAACAACAGCGAAAACACTGGTAATGTTTTGAATCCACAACAATCTGTAGGTTAAAGTGCTTTGGCAGCTGATGTGATTCCAAATATCTACTGCGATCCACCTTAAATGATCCAACCTTTCAGTTTCTTTCTCTATCAACCAGTCATCATGTCTAATGACTCCTTCCCCTATAACAAACAGTTCCCTGTGTGGTTATGTTAAAGTTACATTGACTACACTGTGAGTGCTTTAGGGTATTTATGGAGGTCAGAGTATTTATGGGGGTCTTTTCTTTTTTTTCTCTTTTTTTTTAAAGCTGTCATTAGGGTACTCCAGTACATTCATCATGCCATGAATGCTCATTTGTGTGTGTTATGTGTTCCAGATTTCCAGGTGGAGGTGCAGCTCGATAGTCATAAGCACAAGCAGAGGAGTGCAGTGAAGAGGGCTCTGTTCTTGGATTCCCAGCTGCCCTTGCTCCAGAGACGTGTGAGGGTTCGCCATGGCGAGCGTGTGTGCAACCAAACAAAGATCTACCTAAGGGTATGCCCCCTCTCTGGCTAATAAAAATCCTCAATGAATCTGATTTTACTTTCTGTGACGGAGCCTTGATTTCATTGTCATAATAAAATACAAATCAATGGCTGTCGTTGTTTTCCTGGGAAAGTTTTGCGCTACATTCTCTTCTGTGTTTCTGTGACTTCAGGATGAGAAAGACTTCAGGGATAAGCTTTCCTCCATTCATGTGGCCTTGAACTTCAGCCTGGATCCAAACGCTGCAGCCGACTCCCACGGTCTGCGTCCCATCCTGAACTATCAGACCACCAACGTTATCGAGCAGAAGGTACATTGACTGCTGCTGCACATCTTCTCTCCAGCACGTTTAACTAAACCCTGGAGTGATGCACAGAACTTGGATCTATACACACACATATATATATATAGGGGAACAGTGTTCCTCTGATAATGAACATGTGGTTCTGATGATAAGAATGTCCGCCATATTGAGTAATCACGTTTCACATCACCTGCCAGCGACTCACCAGCTCTCTCCTGTCCCTGATGAAAGAATGAGTCTGTTCTTTTAATCTCAACTCTGAACCACTCTGCTGGGACTAGGTCCAGAGTGTCTGGAAAGCTGTTTCCAAAATGAAAATGTGAGGCACATGTACAGTGCAGTGTTTCCCTGTACCAGCTCTCATTCCGCTTGGCTGCGTAGCGGTACGTAGGTGAGTCGTTCCAGAGCTGGGATGGTGGATATTTCAGGGTGGGGCACAGCCGGGCTATTTGCCCATCTGGTTGAAATCTTTTGGCAGCCAGCCGGGGTTCCTCAGGCTGCGAGTGGAGCTGGCTCAACATGAGGGCATCCTTTCAGCTGTGGCACAGCGTGCACCATATGTGAGCTCAGCAACAGCCACCGGCTCAGAGCATTTGGGAAACGGCAATCAGCAAAGTTTCACCTCCGCCCCCTTCTCAAATTTTCTCTCAATCCTGGTCTCTTTCTATCTCATTCCTGTTGGATCAGATGCCCTTCATAGATATCAAAGCTGTGGGGCCTCCAACAGATGTGTTTTTTTTTTTTTGCTGAACCAAGACCTTGAGATGAGCCGGAGCTAAAACATCAACGTTAAATTGCCCAAAAAGAGTCCAAACGTGATCTGGTATGTGTGTGAAAAACAGGAGTGGGAGAAATGTCAGGCTGCCAACATACTTCATTAATCTCCCTGTAGAAAAAGTGTGAATGTATCAGAGCGTAAACAGACCATAATACCACTGGCCTTGATCAGACACATGATGCCCTATTGATTTCCACATATGCTGTGAGAATCTGTGGCCAGCCATGTAACATTTCACTGACTCTGCCAAGGTCTTACTCTCTTCAAGCTGCAGTGAGAATGAGATATGGTTTATGTGCTCGACACAGCCTCGTTCTCTCTCAACGTGATGTATTCCACATGTTTCTATGAAGAGTTATGGCATCACGACGGCCTATTAATTGCCTTCATTCTCAGATCCTGAACGAAGAGATGCGTTCGTGCAAAAGCAGAAATGTTCTCGGTCGTTGTTTTTGAATTGGCTGAAACTTCCTCAATGCCACCATTGTTCTTAAAATAACAACATCTGACCAAATAAGTGTGACTTTGATTAATGGGCACACGCTTACTGGCACGTTAACATGTTGACTCCTCTGCCTGATGCTTGCCCTCATGTTGTCACATGTTGATATCAGTGGTGATGTTGTTTATCAACTGTGACGGGCCTGCGTATGTTGTTTTCTTGCCCTGTGCACACGTATGGACCGGGGTGCACATGTGGCCAAGTTCGCGTGGTGGTTTCCATGGTGTCCATAATTAGAGCCCCTGGTTGGTGTAATGACAAGGGGGGCGTTCGGCTCTCTTTAATCTCCTCCTCCATTTCTATTTATTATCCTCATCGTCATGAGCATCATCACACTGTGACAGTCTCAGCGGGATGCAATATATGCAATCCGCAGGGCCGTCCCCCGCCGCTGCTCTGCCACACGTCCAGCGGTCGTCCACTTATCCGCCAGTGTTTCTTTTTCTTTCTTGTCTTTCCCTCCACTGTAATCTCTGAACCTCCACATCTGATTTTCAGGTCAACAGAGATATCCTATGTCTCAGAAAGTTCCTCTAGGATGCAGGCTTCCCCTTTTCCATATGATCATACGCCGCTGTGGTTGGCTGGGTGGCGTAGCGTGTGGTGAAGGCGCGGTCTGCCACACGGTGCTGTGATGTGGGGCGCTGGAGAGAGCTAGCAGCTTTGCGCTCAGCTCAGTGCGTCCTCCAGCGAGCGCTCCGGGTCGGACGCCGTTCATCTTTCTCCTTCTCAAACAGAGTGTGAGCGAGTGTGTGTGTTTGTGCCGCGGACAGCTGGCTCAGGGTTCAGCGTGTCTGCGTCTGACATGACCTCACTGATTCTGTCATTGCCCCCCTGAGTCATGACATTGTATTTTTTGTGACGTGCAGGGAGGATGTATTGTAAATAAGAGGGAGTGCGGTGCAGGTGTGTGTTGTGGCTGGTTATCAGGAGGCCGGGGTGGAATGCATTAGTCATACCACATGTCGCATCTTGCTACACTCATCCTGTTGTCACCATTATGATTTATCATGTGTGTGTAATCTTTTTCACATGTGAATGGAGGATTTCTTCAGTCTGAACCCACTGTCTGGTCATCAGGGTCTGCAGCCTCTCTAAGCATTCATATCCCCCAATTTATTCTCCTAGGCTCAGATTCTGTTGGACTGCGGAGAAGACAATATCTGTGTCCCGGATTTGAAGCTGGCAGTTCACGGGTGAGTCTGTTCACTTCCTTATGTATTCCTATAAATCCCAGAGCATGTGATCACGGTGAACTCTTCACCTCTTCTGTACAGATGGGAGCGTGGAAATTGCTAAAGCATAAATACATCTGTTTTTGTTGTTCTGTTGCTTTGCTAAGTTTAGCGTGGCAGAGAGGGGCCGTTAAAAGCCACAGTGCTGCAGCAGTGTCACTCTGAAAACAGGACGCAGCTCTGCTCCACAGGTGTCACGACAAACAGTAACAGAGGAAAAGACAGGAGAGATGAAAAGGGATCCGTTTGTGAACTCTGTGAGCCGAGTCCCAACCTCGCCTCGCTTCTGAAGCCGTCAGGGGCGCTCTGCCCACCACACTTTGATTCAAGCAATCTGTTAGCATTTTTCTCAAAAATAACAGCCTCCCTGATACTCCCTTCTCTGCTCTGTCATTTCCATTTCACATTCCTATATTTATCTACCATCTGCCCCCATTTCTTTCAATGTATGTCTGATCCATCACACATAGAATAACCTGCTGTGAGCGTGCGTCTTTGTGCTGCACTCCATCCCAGAGATCGGGGATCAGGATTAGAGCAGTTCAAATAAAAGCTAGACGTTTCTGTGCTCTGGAGCAAATTATTGAAGCCTAATAGTTTTTTAGGGGAGTTGATGGGATGGGCATGATTTAATGGAATTTCAGTAGAAAAAAGTATCCATCATTCCTGCACTGTTGATTCTTCTATTCCACTGCCAAAGCACATAACCTTGCAGACCGAGCGTCCCTGTGGGAACCTTTTAGGTTTTGTGGTGTTTTCTAGTTTTCGGCCTCTGTTTGGTTTAAAAAGTGCATTGCCAGTGAGAATCAGACTAAGGTTGACTGTCAGGCCGGCGGAGGATCAGCTTCAGAAATCCTCTCTCTCTCCACTCTCCTGCTTTGCTTTATGAGCTGTAATTAAAAGCGTCTGTGTGGCGCTGCATATGGCATTTCTCATTGTTCCGAGCAGAGAGAGGTGCAGGCAGTGAGAGCAGGAAAGAAAAGGGAGGTGTTACACAGTCCTGTGCTCTGTTGTACAGCATGTATGACTTCATTACCACATCGGAAAAGTTTGAATTTAATTGGGAAAGCTTCGCGAAATGGATCCATTAGATAATTAGCACGGCTCTAAACAAAATAAAAAATAAACCTGAACATTACTAGTTTCATTATCAGTTTATTGCCGGCTACGACTGCCAGCAAACACAAACAAAGAATGTCATTGTTTCCTCTTCACGCAGCGTGTTCTTCTTTGTTTACCTGAGCAGCCCTGACACTATTTAACCTGATAATTGGCCACATTAGTGATCAGCTCTCTGTCTGTTTGGCTCCTCAGGGACAGGAAGGAAGTCTACCTGGGTGACGACAACTCGCTGACTTTGACCATTAACGCCAAGAACGAGGGCGAGGGAGGCGCATACGAGGCCGAGCTGTACGTGGTGCTGCCTCCTGAAGCTGACTACAGCGGAATTGCTCGCAATAATGAGGTGAGTAGAACTGCAAACAGAGTGAAAAAGTACAACTTCCAGGTCGTCTCTTGGGATTTTATTTTTCCTGTACTTTTTTCCACTGCTGTGGTTTGACCCACGTGTCCTCTTGGTTCCCAGAGCCTGACGCAGCTGACCTGCAGCTACGAGACAGAGAACCAGACTCGATACCTCAGCTGCGATTTGGGAAATCCAATGAAGTCTGGTACCAGTGTAAGAACCCCACTTCCTTATTGATTTAAGGCATCACATATTCTTGTGTATTTTGACTTGATTTGCGGTCAGACACTACATCATGGTTTCCTGCCTTGTTGGAAAAAGTTGTGTGTCATCCTCTGGCTGGGGGTGAACAACACAGGAAAAGTCAGCGTGTGTCAGGAAGTGTTGTGACACAAACTACAGACGCCATCTGTGCCCTCAGCCTCCCGCAGCGTTTCCCTTTTTAATGATGGAGTCATGAGCTGGCATGTGTTTAATAGGTCTGTAAAGGAAAACTGTCAAAGACGCGTTAACTGGGGGAGACAGACAGACATCCAATTAAGAAGAAACTGGTTGTTGTCACATAATCTGCTCAGAATTTAGTATTATTCATCTTATTTGATTGAAAAGGTAAAAGCAGAGAGATTGAATTAATAAATAATTGGTTTACTGCTGGAGAAAACACATTTCCTTTAAGTAGTGATGGCAAATATTACCAATACCTCACTTCTGATGATGACTGATAACGATCGATTCATAATAATAACTAATGTCTGATCTTCGTCTTTGCAGCTGTGGGCAGGTCTGCGCTTCACGGTGCCACGGCTGAAGGACACGCACAAAAACGTTCAGTTTGAGGTGCAGATTCGCAGGTACAGCTTGATGTGAACAACTCAGACACTGAGAGTTAATGGAACACGTGTGGATTCTGAATCCAGCCGTCCTGCTCTCTAAGACTCTTCAACGTTCTGAGCTAATCAGAATCTCTCTCTCTTTGTTTTCACAGTAAAAATGAGAATAATTCCCACAGTGAGGTTGTACCCTACAAGCTGGAGGTGGTTGTCCAAGCTGAAGTCATTCTGCAGGGGTGAGCTGAGGTTTAGGATTTCCTCATTTGAACTGCGGGAACCTTATTGAGTCTCTCGGGCCCCTTGATACATGTTGTCACACCTCCACTTTTCCTCTTCAGTGTGTCTCGACCAGATAAGGTCTTCTTCCCGCCGGCCAACTGGAAGGTGACCAAAAACTACGGGGTGGAGCAGGATGTTGGGCCTGCAGTGGAACATATCTATGAGGTAATCAGCCAACACTGTGCAGCGTCATTGGGTCTGAGCAGATTGTGTTGGAAAGCAGATCCTATACTGTTCATAAACTGAGTCAAGTTCCCAGGACAGCAGCGAAGAAAAACTACTCCAGTGTGATTTATTCTCAGGCTTCGCAAATCCACTTTCACCCTGGTGACGATAAACAGTGCTCTGCTTTAAGCAACCTATTTGTAGAGTAAAGGGATATGTCACAAATTAAAGTTTCAGCATGGGAGGTGGAAACTGCTGCTCACATGTTTAACTTTATTTGACCTATTTCCGATTTTCCAGTTGTTGAACAACGGGCCCAGTCGGATCAGCCACACCCTTCTCGAGCTGCGCTGCCCCCTCAGTGTCCAGGGCCACAATCTCCTTTACCCCCTGGAGTTCTCCACAGAAGGAAACATCAACTGCACCTCCGACAAGAACATGAACCACCTACACCTAAAAGTGAGTAAAGCCATTTTCAGACATTGAACTCCGCAGTTAAAGCATTTCTGAAGGCAGCTCAATATGCAGATGTGCACAAATGCTCACCTCTCAGGCCTCCCACTGATTCCCAGTCAGATGTATGATTAACGGTTGGATCCGCTCGCTGCTGGGTCCACACCCACCTCCTACTCCCGGCTTCAGGGCCCCACCCAGGACACTTACCCTACCACCGCTTTGAAGCTCCACATCTTCCCTTTGCTCTGCACAGCTTGATGAACACACTGACTGATCTTTGACAACCAGTGATGCGCCCCCTGACACCAAGTCATATCTTTAGGATTTTGTGGGCGGACCATCCAGTTGTTTGTGTTTACTTTTGAAGCTTGACAGATGTTGAGCAGGGCCACGAGTGGTCATCTGTCTTAACTAATGTTTTTTTCCCCCTGGTGAATTACTAAGTACACGAATTTCCAAGGGAATTCATGCGTAGCCCGGCTCACATGCTTCTGATTAATGACAAAAAGCCTCGGGGTCATGCTAGCATTAGGTCTTATATTGACAGGAAGGGAGGTGTGCTCCTCTGCCTGGTGTGTGTTGTCCTAATGGCTAATGCATTTTGCACTTTCTCTTCCTGTAGCTCCAGCGCACGTCAACAGAAACACCGATCCTGGCTCTGAAGGCCCCGGAGCACCGCGTGGAGAGGAGGGACGTCCACAGGAATCAGCTCGCTCATTTGACTAACCTGGTAAGATGCTCACAAAGGAACTGTCCCGGGCCAAATAAATACAGCATGAATGAATGGTGTCAGGCCAAAAGGTGAAGTCTAATGCAATAGGTGACTGATTGGAGACTTGAAAGTGCGGGAATAAGGAGCTTGAGTTTGCGGTTTAGGGTAAATGTTGTTATGCTGTTAAAACCATTTTGTGTCACTGACAGAGCAGATCGAGACTCAGAGTTAAACACAGAAGCAGAGGGTAGAAAAGATTTTAATGCAGTGCCTTAAATCTGCAAATCTGGACCTGACATTAACCCCGCACTTCCATGAGGCCCCCGGGATTGGCTAATTAGGTTATGATGTCATTAAAAGGGAGGGGTCAAAGGGCACAGGCTTGTCCCCTTGTGGTGATTAACATTAAACAGCCTTTAGTAGTGGTGGAGGGGAGGAGAGGCTGAGGAGACGTCGGACATGCAAGGCTTTTTGTCCGTGATGCTCTGGTGACTTCACAGGCTGCTCTCTAATTTTCGGCCCTGGGTGTTGTGGGGGCCCCCCGAGCCCTCGCACACTGGGGCCATTGATCAACCCACCTGCATGTCGCTGCTCCCTCGGCCTCCGCCTGTGGATACCTGCCTCCGCCAATGAAGTCTTTGTCCGCGCGCCCGTCGCTCCTAACCGTGCTCGTTTATCAAGCATGTCCAATGACACGTTAGCATGAAGGAGCCCATTCTCCTGCGTCCCCCGTGTCTGCACTTTTGTTTTTTACGCTCAGCGGGACAAGACATCCCCCTGGTCAAAGTGTCTCCTGATTAAAGTGTGTTAGTGTTTTGCAATGCTTGGGCGAAGCTGTCGGCCTATAGGTCATAGTATGAGACTTTAAAATGACCTGCTCAGGCTTTGAAGAGCTTAGCTGTGCAGGGAGAACAAAGACGTGGCTGTGATGGACTCTAAAAATGGAAAAATAATCATAATACTTATGTTTTTACAATTGCTGTTTTAGAGCAAGTGATATATTTTTAGTGCTGTGTGATAAAACCTTTGTAAATTGAAAGTACTTCAGAGTTTCCGGGCTGTGAAAAATATTGTCTCGCAGGTGTTTATCCTGCAGCAGGACACATGTCTTTTTTATCTCTTTCGTTCATCGGGACCATGTGATGGACCACCCGTAGTAAAACCTGCAGAGAATCTGCACCAAAGTCTGTTCATTAACAAATGATTCACACATGCAACTATAACCATGACAAGTGTGAAACCCACAAGTATTTGTTAATGGAATACCAACATTTATTACTGCATTATTACCAAATACAAAGGATTAACAACATATTTTTTACACAACCTGTCAGAGACGAGATGAGATTTCTCATGAGGGATTTATAATGCATTGGTTAATGTGTATTAATCCAACTTACATATATTTATATCTATGTAAGTATATTTCAGATAGTAAATATATTTTAAGTTATCAGTTGATCAGCGAATCATTTCCTTGCTTCAAAGTGGGAATCTAAACAGACTGTGTGCGTGCAGCAGCTGCGTCGTCAGGCCAGACTGTGATTTTATGTAGTTGTGGGAACAGCTTCCACCCCCAGAGCTCCAGATCTTGACCACGTAATTCCACCAGGGAGGATATGTGGGACTTTGGTCTGAGGCATCTTTGGCACTGGACCATGTTCCTGCCATTTCCACAGAAACCTTAGTGGCCCCAATGCCCTGGGGCGCGAGGGAGGTCTACCAGGAAGAAGTGGACTGATATGCTCCCTGACTGTCTGAATACCCTCATTAAGTCTGTCTAAGACCCAGCCTGAAGGAGCTGTGAGGGCACTCTCCCCTCTCCTCTCCTTCTGTGTTTGCCCAACTTGGTGTAATAAGTAAACTAATGCACTCCCGCAGGAAACCCGCTGAAACCTCTCAGTCTGGGGGTGGTCTGGCTACAGCCCCAGCTCTGCAACACAATGTGTGCACGTTTTAAAAACCTTTTAAACTTAACCAAGCTGCATTATGAGCACCTAATTAAGATTGTGTATTCTGCAGCCTTGAGAAAAATGGGCTGGTTTTAGTGGTTGGACAATAATGTGGAGAGTGGTGCATGTTGCATTTTTACAGTCTCATGACATTCCTTCAATCTAATTCGAAGCAGGCGTGGAAAAGGGATCATAACATTGGACTCTTTGTTATATTTATTCGACCTGCAGCATTAACAGGGCTGTTATTTGTCCTTCGAGTATGTGCTCAGCTAGTTTTTACTTGTATTCACCTACATTTAATCCCTTTTTTGGATATTATCTTTGCCTCAAAACACATTTATTATTTCATTAACACTGTCTTAATGTCTTTGTTTCCACAGTCGTGCTCTAATGTGGAGTGCTGGTCGCTCCAGTGCAAAGTGGGTATTCTGGAGAAAGGGACCACTGCGATCGTCAAAGTGCGCTCCCGCATCTGGGCCGAGACCTTCATGGAGGTTTGTGGGAGAAGTCTCTTTTTGTTCCACACTAACAAGACATGCACTGTTCATTAACACACAGGCATGGCAGAGGAAACGACCGCAGACTATAGATCAGTGCTTTCCCTCCTGTGCATGTGTATTTTTTAATGTCACGGTTCAGCTGGAGGTAAAACCCATTTATCATTAAAGCATCAGAAAAAGAAAACATTGAGAGTTTAAACCTCAAACGAGCTGCTAGAAAAGACAAATGGCTGCAACACTGTGTCTCACACTCTGGTTTGTGTTGACGAGGCATCTGCATCGGGCCTGAATCAGTTTGCAACGCTGCCAGTTTGCCTGCTCTCACATATTTGCCTTAACAAATGGGATGACAGTTGCTCGCTGAGCATGTAGATTGCTCCAGACTGGCGGTGCAGACTGTAGTTTCTATCAGTTGACATCACTGCTTCCCTGCCATGTCTCAGCTACACACAGATTATTTACCACCATGCATCTGCTAACACAAGGCATATGTGTGAAAGTATTGAAAATTCATTATCTGGTCGTCGCAGCTGCTCATGGGATCGGAATGCTGGGAGAATTGTCTCTGCTGGCTGCATCTGGTCTCTGTCGCCATCTAGTGTACGTGCGCGCATTTTGAATATGATGGAGTAACACTTGACTTGTCATCCTTCAGAGGGCCTATAAGCAGTACGTGCTGGAGTGCATGGCCAGGTACAGTGTGGAGAAGATGCCCTACGCCATCCTTCCCAAACATGCACCCAGTGGACACAAAAAGGTACTAAAGATGTCTATTTATTCCTTTAGTTTAGCTTATTATTATTTTATGATTTAAGTGAGTAAACAACACACTGTGCCCTCCTCCTCAGGTGGTGACCCCCGTCGTGTGGAACAAGCCGGACATCGAGAACTCAGTTCCTCTGTGGATCATCATCTTGGCCATTCTGGCTGGTTTACTGCTTCTGGCGTTACTTATCTATATTCTATACAAGGTCAGTGCTGCAGAGAAACAAGGTTTTGAAGGAGACATAAGATGCTTTTTCATTTTTTATTTCGAGTTGTTTTGTTAAAGGTCTGTGCATGTTTTAATTTTCTGTTTTTCTGAAAACATCTCTCTGTTTGCAGTTCGGCTTCTTTAAGCGATCTCTACCATACGGCACCGCCATGGAGAAAGCACAGCTGAAACCGCAGGCTGCCTCCGAGGCCTAGAGGACTCACCAGACTCAGCAGAACCACAGTACCTGGCCGTATGATTGCAACAGACAAACACAATGGAACGTGTAGAGTGGATCAGGAAGCAGACCACTGGAACTCCACTGTGCTGCACTAGAAAAAGACAAAAGAAATCCAAAGATTTTCAACCAAATGAATGTTTTTTAATTTATGTTTGATGGCGGGTCAGGATTGTTACCAAATAGGACTTTCCTCAGTGCCTCGAGGTAAACACGAGGACGTCAGCCTGCAGATGCAAAGAGATAGTTTCCTTTTGTGGACTCTTGCGTCCGAGAGTTCGGTGATTCCTGTTAAACTGCCTTATTTTGGTGCTAAGGTTCTGATGCGTTCACTGCCTCTGACAGAGAAGCTTCCACGTGTAGCTTGTGGCTGTGAATTACTGAAAGTATTCTTCTGACACGTCCAGAACAGATACACATATTTCTCTATTGGCAGAAGATCACGAAACAGGTTTCAGGTGAAAACATTAACCGGTCTATAGCAGCACTACATACCCAAATGTCAAAACCAAATCTTTCCAATAGCTTTGTTGAAAGAATTTTATTTAGATGATATAAATCCTGACCTGTCTGAGATGCTGCCCTGGGTTCGGCTCCAGCAGCTCACAAACCCGGAACAGGTTGTGCGGGTATTGAAAATGATCTCTCTCTGCCTCAGGACGGTGGACAGCGCTGGGTTGAGTTGTTTTTTTGCACTCAAAGGAAATCTACTGATATATTTCCAGAGAAAGACACCAGAGACTCACTGATTGACCTTTGAGTTCTGACTCCTACTGATCACTTTGTATGAAGCCTGTTTGTCGTCGCTCAGAGTTACCAATGCTGGCATCGTCCTCGTCGTTGTGTAGTCGACTGGGATGGGACTGGAACCACCATGGACCTGCGAGACGTCACGTTAGGCTTGAAGCAGTGCGGTGCCTCTGGCAAAAACTATTTGCCAAAGAGTTTTTCTTTTCGCTGTCTCTTCGCTCCTGTGCAGTTTGGGTTAAGCTCATCCAGCGCAGGGGAGTCAATGACGGCGGCGTAACGTTGTCTTGATCCGAAGACGTGACAATCAGCAGCGTTGTAGCCTCGACAGATCACAGCAGGATCACAGGCGTGTGTGTGTGACTGTGAGTTACTGTATTTGTCTCTTTGAGTAAAAGCTGCCCCTTGTTTAGGAAGAGAAGTGGCTCCAGTCTCCCCATCACCAAAAGACTACAGGGACTGAACTTTTCAATGCTTGGTATTGGTTTCTTTTATTTGTCCTGTACATAGATGTTACGTGCCTTAAATGTAAATACTAAATGTCCGTGGGTGAGAATTAGTGTTGCGTGTGCTCACGTGTGACTTCACGCAAACATGCATTTGTGCGAATGGTGTATTTATGAATGTTTGTTTCCTGTATGAATCGGTCGTTTCTTTCCCACTGCCTGGTCCTGTTTATCCCTGTCGCCATTGTAGCTTGAGTTCATTCAGGTGAAGCATATTGAACATGATTAACGCAGTTCACATCCAGTAGAGGAACGTTTGATGGGTGCTAGATCAACAAAGATCACAAAAAGGAGAAGATCCACACACCTGAAGCTCCCAAACATCAAAAAATGAAACATCACAGGCGAATCATTTCTTTAACGGGAGCTTCAGGTGTTCAGATCTTGTTGAACAGCGCAACATGAATTTAATCACAATAAGGCTGCCGTCCAGATGTGAGCATCCTCTTCAGGATGTGTTGTACCTCTCTCCAAGGGATAACAGCTCGGCACTGGGAACTCTGTTGTTTGGAAGTGCAATATTTATATTCACTCTGTCTTTTTTTTTTAATATTACAGTGCTTTCTTTTGTTTTTATGTTTCTGTTGTGGACTGACTTGTGACAAACCAGAACGTTGTGTGTTAAAATATGTGATAAGCACATCGACTAAATCTTTTTGCGAGTGTTCTTGCTTTTCACTTTCACTTGCTTTTCTCACTTAAGTCTTTTTTTTTTTTTGACTCGAGATGTACTCACCACTCGCTGGACCACTGTCCTGAATTTTTTTTTTTTAAAACCACCTCCAGGACATTTCCGAGTTGAACCTGTTGACATGTTGACACACTTTGGTAATTTATGTGCTCTGCTGTTGCACCTGTCCAAACACCCCCATTATTCTAACCATGTGTTTTACATTTGTTTGCCTCATTACACTCTGTTAATATGCCCCCCCCCCCCCATTGGATACTGATTTAATATTTTTTCAAATGGGCCATGAAATCCCCATTTGATAATTGATTTAAATCCTTTAACACCGTCTACATGAAATTTCTTTTCTGAACAGGTCGACTCATTATTTATAATGACGGGGGATCGTTTTACCACATCCTCCACGGTGACATCATGAGAAGGCACTGTGTGTTTTTTTTTTTTCTTTCTGTTTTTTTGACGTCTACCCCAACTTTCTCTCTCCGGGACTTTCAAAAAGAAGTTGTACATATTTAACGTGGAGAGTAATGAATTCAATTGATAACTGACTTGTTGTGAATTTTTCTCACCCCATATTGGGGAGAACATTGTTGTCGGGTGGGGAGGAAGTGGACGGGGGGCGGGGGATTTGAGGATCAATTTTTACCTGTTACAGTTTGTACTTCAAATAAAAAAAAAAACATTTCTCCTTTTTAAGAAATTCTTGTGCTTTCATTGAATACACATAGCTGAGAAAATAATTTATTTAGAAAACAACTTTGTATGAAATTATGTGCAAAAAAACCTGATACAACATTTTACATGAGTGTGAAAATACTAGTGCACGAAAGAGCTGACCTGAAGTGATTAGTGGTGAAGAAGATCTGCAGCATGTGAGTCTGTTGTGCGGCACGATCCAAACTTCACATGGATGTATTTTCACAACAAAGACGAACATATTTGTTGTATGTGTGTGTGTGGGTGGGGGGGGGGTTGATTTCCACAGTGGCACATACACCAGAAATATTTACATGAGGTGAGAAAGTCCGATGGGCGGTTCAGGATTAGAGGTCATTACTGTGCGCTCTGCACGTGTTCGCTCTCTGTGCACAAAGCTCCTCCATGAACCTCCGGGGGTGCGGCTCGTTGAAAGAGAAGCGTGGAAACATTTGTTCATGGAGAGAATCTGTTCTCCGGTTCAGATGTGTGCCACAGTTCTGCAGTCTGTGTAGGTTTGCAGGCTCGTGACCTAGCATTCTAACGTTCGCGATAGCTGCGTTAGCGTGCGCTGGTTGTCGATCACCTTCAGGTTCTGAATGTGCTGTCGGATGTTGCTGGGACTCCGCAGGGGGAGGGCATGGTCCGAGTCTGGATGAGAGGAAATAAATCATATAAATCATTGATAAATGAATCTTTATTAATCAAGTACATGTAATAGCGAGACCTCGATTCTGGCTCCAAATGAATATTAAAAAGGAAAGATGGCCGCATCCATATACAGGATACTTTGGATTCAAAGTATTTGGATACTTTGCACAACAGGTGGAAGTGAAATAACATTTATTTCCATATCTATTTCCAAAGACGCAAACACAGTAACAGTTGTGGTAGTTGGAACTTACACGTGGATATGCGAGTAGCAGGCCCTTCCAGAAACATCCGATCTGCGAGGCCCCTCTGTGGAGACGAAGGCACTGAGGACCAGAAACAGAAATTACCCTACATGCATCACTCATCTACTCATTTACTCCAACATGCATGTGATTTTTTTTGACTTTGGTTCTGCTATAGTTGTACAACAAGCTCTCACCATAAGGCTGGCTTCTGCATCCGCACACTACTTTCACCGTCTTGGCGATCATTCGCTGTGGGACGGTGGGAGGAGAAGAGACCATGTCACGTTAATCTCATACTGAGGACAAGAGGAGTGAGGAATCAAGGAGCTGAGAAGCTCCACAAACATTCCTCTATCTTACCATTTTCTCAAAATTGACCAATTTGTCAACATAGTTTAAGTTTCCCTCATGGATGAAAGTCATGTCTGGGCAAAGACAGAAGCAGAAAACGACATAGTTATCTCATAGAAAATTAATTTTACATGACATCCACATGTATCAGCTGTATCAGGTACGGTTTCCAGGTACCTTTGAGCAGCAGAGGCATGAAGGGGATGTAAGGAGGACCGAGTTTGGCCACAGTCAGTCTGTAGGCCCTGTGGTTACGTGAAGGATCCTAATTAAAACACGTTAGAATGTAAGATTAACTGGAGATAATGCAAACTGTGAATGTTAAGAGGCAGGAAACTGTAGCTGACAGAACAGAATGAAACTCACCATCAACCTCTCATAAGCACAGTAAATTCTTTTCATTTTACTGGATACTCTCTGTGTCGGACAAGCAAAAATTATAAATGAGTAAAAGTTCCAAAGACTGGCACAACTTTCATCATCATCCACAGACTGTATATAAAGATGGACGTGATGGGGTGTGTCGTCCATCTTTATTTCGAGTCAGTGTCGTCATCATGCCTGCAGCTTTCGGGGGCCCCTCACCTCCCAGGTCTTGTAAAGCCTCTGCACGGCACTGTTGCTCAAACCGAACATCACAGCAAAGAATGAATTGAGATTCTTCTGCTCCTTCAAGCTGTAAGAAAGACGATGCATGATAAAGACCGTTACATGCAAACAACAGCACAGTGTACATCATCGTACCAGCGGCTCTAAACGGCTGATGTCACGCTGTTATGTCATAGAGACATTGCTTGCATGTGTATGTTCAGCAGATATCATGTGTCATGACTTCAGGCTTTGGACTCTTGGATAAAGACTTTTTGGTTTTTATTGGACTCTTTTTTATTTATGGACTTTTACCAGTGTTTCCTTGTGTTTTGGTTTGTGTTCAGTTAATTCTTTCTGAGTTTTTGTTTCCTATTTTATTTTGAAGTTTTGTGTTTCTAACTTGACTTCCTGTCTCTGTCCTCTCTCCTGTGATTGTCTGCATCTGTTCCTCATGTGTCTCACCTGTGTTCAATTATTGTCCCCTGTGTATATAAAGTCTCTGTGCTTCTTGTTGTCATTCACCTTCGTATCCTTTGCGTGTGACTTCCTCTTGTTCCTCTTGTTTTGTGGATTTTTGGACTTTGTTTTTTTAACCTTATTTTCTGTAAAGTACCTTTGACTTTTGTTATTCGACCTGGGCCCCCCTCCTCTCTAGACTGGGACATCACGTTAATAATATTGGACATCTGAGTTTATTGTCTTAGCATGCTAACACTGTCTAATGTTCACTGTACAGTTGAGGCTGATGGGAATGTCATTAGTTTTGCAGTTATTTGTTCATATACTATAAAAAAAAAAGAAATAGAAGTTTCTACAATTAATCCTGTGGGGAAAATTTCACTCACAGTGTCAACCTCATGGTGGCACTAGATTGAAAATCAGACAATCACCAAGGTCAGCAGCCTTCAACTGTACAAGATTTAATAGCACCCCATCCGAAGGATTTCGGGATATTAAAACTGTGGACCTGATTTCTCCTCAGAACATGGCGGAGGTTTTCTTACACTGCAGCAATCTTGATGAACTTCTTCAGCAGAACGGCTCGTCTGACCAGGTCCTCACAGAGGCAGAGCTCAGTCACCACCCAGTACTGCACCTCGTTGAAGCGGCGCACGAACCTCTCCAGGTTAGCTGTGGTGGCGCCGGGGAACTTATGGCGGCCGAATACGTAGTAAACAAGCTCCACCTGGAGAAAAAATAAACAATGACTCACAAACCACTGAAATAAACTGCAGACTCCGTGAAGGAGAAATGTTTCAATCAAAGCGAGGCGGGTTTTTTACAGGCGGCCTAACGGACGTGACTGATCTCAGAAACATGTGAAACATGCAGGAAGTGTTGCATCACAGTTCCAGGTGATCTGATGGAAAAGCCGTCAGATTAAAAAGTCGTGTGACTCTGATAAGTTTTCATCAAAGAGATGAGCCCTGCTGGCACTTTAGTCTGTAAATAATTAGTTTCCACTTTGTTCTGTAGTGATTAGTTTTTATGCTGTGGTCAGTAAAATTGTAAAAGAATTGTCATATTGGTGGAGTTACCTCATGCATGGCTGTGAACAGCTCCCAGTCATAATTTGTGAGCTCATTGGCGATGTCTTTGGAGCCCATCTGTTCGAGGACGTCGCTGGTTCCTCGCTCTGGACCCTGCTGCTCCCTCAGGGGCATCTGAGAGACACAGAGAGAGAAAATGAGCAGAGAGAAGATGCTGATGTCGTTCTTCTTCTTTCTGCTTTGAACCGAAGGCACCTCTTCCTCACCAGTTGTTCCACTTGGCTGCTTGCGCAGATGAACAGTCTTTCATTGAGTCCCAGGGCGGTGTAGACTGCAGTGGCCTCCAGCTTTAACTGAGCTCTTTCTGTGAGCATTGATTAAAACAAAAATAATATTCAGCATCAGAACCGGCAAAGTACAGTTAAACAATTTAATTATCATTGATGCTAAAAACAATAATATGATGTGTCATGAATAACTCAGTCCCACCTCCTGTGGAGTTCATTTTGACCAGGATGTGATCCTCGCCTGGTTTGACCATTGCTGACATCACATCCTGCACTGATGTGTTGACCGGGAGCATCAGAGTGAGAGCTTTGTTGTCAGGGCTGTAGATCTCATACAACACTGCACACAGAGACAACAGCAGCAGAAAGATACAAGATATTCAGATGATGGTTGACGACGCCTGCAGATACTGAGCGTGTGATATCGATCAAACTGGAGAGAACGCCTGATTTGATCTGCCTCACCTTTGTCCTGTGCTCTGATTGGCTGTAACCTCCCCACAGGCTCTTCGCAGTTGGAAAACCAATCAAAGGGCTGGTTCTGTCGACAGTGACTCAGTGAGTGAGATGACAAACTATTTCCTCACTAAAAAAGATGCAAAGACAAACTCTGTGACGATGCTCACCCTGCTCAGTGACTGATATCCATTCTCCGACCTGCCGAGGGGACAAAATATAATATGCTGCATTATTTATGACTGGATATTTGAGAATTTTGCAGGAATAACAAATGTCGTAACTTATAATCAATAATAAATATATAATGTTGTAATTTACACTTTTGTTCTCCTCCTGTCCCGAAATTGTTCTTTCAGGAGGCTGGACAGACGGTAATCTCCTGCCACCTCCTTCTTCAACCTCTGTATCAGCACAAACATGCAAATAAAAAAAAAACAGGAACGTGATTATCCATAAATAGAATCTCTGTGTATTCTTAAAATGCAATGGAAATATTCCAATATCCACAGATTACACAGTCACCTCCAAAAAGTCCAAAGCGATTGGGTCTTCTTTCAGCAGGAGGCCGTACAGCACCACCCACTGGCCGAGCAGCTTCACTACCTTCTGCTTGGTGTTGAGAACGTACGCAGCTTTCTCCTGGTCTGAACCCTCCGACAGCTCAGCCCGGTAGGTGCAGTGACGTCAAGGAGCGTAAACGTAACAAAGAATCTGAGATATGACCCTGGTGTGTCAGCAGGAATCAGTTTATCAATCCATGAAATGAAACCTACGTGTTTATTCACCGTATTCACAAATTTGCCTCATAGGGCTTCAATCTGTGCAAGGTGAAAAACACAGAGTATAACAGTGTTTGAAGCGTTTGTGCTTAAAGAAATAGTGGGATGTTTTGTTTGTTTGCACTGTGGATGTTATCATCAGAACCACCAGCAGCAGTTCACTTCATCACAACATCATTACTGTTATCAGTGTGATAGACCAGGGTCAGGATATTGGTGCTGCAGCGCAGGACACAACTGGCTGGAGGGCATGAAAACTTTATGGGTGAGCAGGAAGTCACTCACACAGGGATCTGCAACAACAACAACAACAACAACAACAACACAGTTTAACTCGGTCTGGTTACCCTGAGTCACTAACTTACACAAGTCATCATACAATAAGATTCCTGCAGGCTCCCACCTATGGCGTCATTTCCATTAGAATCCAACTTGACTGTTTCCAGTAGATGCTCCAGGATTTTCTCAGGCGTCCCTGACATGACTGTGTATCTGCACACAGCAAAACAGAGAGATTTAATATTTCTTTCACAATATCACTGTCTGCTCTGTGGTTCTCGGTTTGTGTCTTAAATCAGGGTCTGATAATGATTTGTTAACGTTAGATAATGAGGAGAACTAGTTAACTTCACCTCGACCACACTTCTAATCACCTGCCGACAAATATCCAGTTTGTCTTTCTCCACCAATCCCTTCCCTTCATCCATTCACTCCTTCTCATTCCTCCCTCTGCTCATCCCTACTCTCATCCCTTCATCCTCATTATCTCAACCTCACATCCATTCATCCTCTTTCCCTCAAACCCTCATCCCTTCATCCTCATTCCCTCAAACCCTCATCCCTTCATCCTCCTTCCCTCAAACCCACATCCCTTCATCCGCCTTACTTGCTCAATCTCTTTTTAATGCGTTCACATTTTCTAATGAGTAAATTACAGATGGCTTGCACAGTCGTGTAATTATTAGAAAGATCACTTATCCTGTATTATTAGTTTGTGTCTAGACGCTGAATGATAAAAATGCTTTAAAAAGGCCTTTGACGTCACCGTTGCATAGTTTGTCCAGCAGACATGTTGTTTTTACTGCACTCTGAGTGTTGGCAGCTGAGTGGACTGCGGTGTTCTGCCCGGTCACACACCGTGCGATTACCGCTCTGAACTAAAACACCTCGTCTTTCAGGGCAAGCTGTGTGTTCGTCGTCAGAACTAAACGTGAGGCCTCCCTGTCGAATGGGTTCCGACCAAAATGTGATATTGGCTCAGATAATAAATCTTCCGTGGTGGAGGGGAGAGAATGAGAGGAGATGGTGTGTGTGAGAGAAACAAGGGAGAGCAGGGTAAGTGTGACCCGAGGGAGAGGTCGGCATCAAGTTAATTCACTTCTGTGTTTGCTAAAACACTTCAGGAGTGATAACAAGTCATTCAGCCAGGCAGGGTTGAAGTCCATTTCTTTTTCTGGCTGTCAGATAACAGTCCATTAATAATGATTTAACCAGAACAGACCAAAAGAGAAATCCCACCAAAAAACAATGGCACTGCTTGGGTTGTTGAATCTGCTCACACCAATGTAAAGTGTGTTATTGATTGTAAACCTGCTTGTGAAGTGGCGGTGTTGCCTCGTGTGTGTGTGTGTGTGTGTGTGTGTGTGTGTGTGTGTGTGTGTGTCGGAGTTTCTCACTTGCTGTTGTTTCCTGTTCCTCCTTGCCCGGCGGAGGCGGCACTCTTCTCCAACACCAGCACAGATTTCCCATGCTCCTCCAGTCGCACTGTGTTGGCCTCCACATCCTGAAGAGCAACAAGCACAGATCACGACTCCGTCAAATACAGAATCGAGTACATCTGCAAATCTGTTGCGCACAAATAGAAACAGTCCAAGTGCGGCTCACCTTGAGGATGTGTATGAAGTCCTGTTTATCGACACGGAGGAAATGGCAGTTGTCTTCTCTCAGGATGATGGTGGCAGCGCGAGGTGCGTCATTCAGCAAAGCCAGCTGCCCAAAGTCCTCCCCCTCATGCAGTGTCGTTACCAGTCCCTGTAAACATGCAGTACTTTCAAAGCTGTTCACAAGTGATTCTTAGCTTTATTGTACGGATCTGATTGGATTGTTACCTTCCCGTGTGTGATCACGTTCACGGAGCCTTTCCAGATGATGTACCACGAGGTGCCTTTGTCCCCCTGACTGAACACTGCATCACCAAAAACACAGTCAGTGGCAACAGTGGTAATGATATGTGCATGAAGTTCACGTTTTATATCCAAGTCTCTTACTTTACTATGTTTGCATAGTTTTATATTCAAGATTAAAAGTGCGCTGGCCAGAAAACTCTGGAGAAGAAAGTTTGATATGTGGACTAATAAATTAGAAAAATTAGGTTTACTTTGTCAAACAATGAGGGACTCTAAATATCAATAATGTACATCATTTTCAACAGATGTGTCTTTGCTGTTGTTTTCACTTGTGCATTTGTTGCTGTTGTTGTGTTTGTTCAAAATCAATAAACAGAAAAAGGTGCAGAATGAGGATTAAAACCTTATGCAATCAGTCGATTAGATTATTCCTAGGTGGATATAACTCTGAGAGCTCTGTGTTGTGTTGTGAAGAGGATGTTTTCTGAGGTAAAATGTCAGAGAGGCTGTTCCACTCACAAACTGTTCCAGCCTTGGCATGGGATTCAAAAACCAGCACGGCTGCCAGCTCCTTACGCACCTACAGGCACAACACAGCAAGAAATGAGACTCAACTGAAATCATTACTCTTGTTTCCATTGGATTACACTCAAATTGTTCTTGGTGCATTATTCGTCTGATATTCTGATATAAAGCAGCTGGTATTATCGCTAATGACAGAAAATGTGAGAAACATTACGAGGCAGCTATAACGTTTTAAATGTAGAGCATGTTTTTTCATTTAGCTTTGAATGTCAAAGGTTGAATCAGTAATTGGAGGATGGCTCACACTTAAAAACCTCTTCTGAAGAAAGTACTATATAAGAAACCTTATGTGAGAAAACCCACTGATAAATCACAAAGTGACAGATTGTGCTGACAGTAGTGGTGACTCACCGAGGCGGAGAGATGAGCGGCAGCCTTAACGTGGAGCAGCTCCTCGTAGATCACCTCCAGATCCTCAGCACTCCTGTGACTGGGGCTGAACACACAGAAAGATGCAACCTGCATAAACATTACTACATCGACTAAATCCTGCTGTCCTGGCTCCTTTAGTCAATTTATGACAATATCATATGTGGCAATCACGACCCACTGTATATTCTATCATAGGTTTTCATGATTCTTATATAGACGTTCAGCAGACTGACCATTTGCGTAGGATCATCGTGAGCAGAGCGTCAGGACCGAGCTGAGACAGCAGCGACAGACCTTCCTGCAGCTCGTCCTCCGATTCCCTCTCATTTGTGTTGTGGTTCAGGCCAAACTCGGAGTCTTGGAATCGGTAGAACTGAGTGTCCTTGTCATGAAAGTTCAACTCGTGTTTCACTTGAATTGATTGAGGCAAAACACACGAGAGGAAAAACAGAGTTAAATGTAGAACCCGACCTATTTATCGGTTGGCCGATAAAAATGGATTCATTAATTTTCCTTTGGCTTTTGGGAATGGTGCCATTACGTAGTTCGTCCATGTAAAATTGTGTTTAGTTATGAATCCCATTATTATTTGTGCATGTACAATGAGCAATGAAATGTTTACCAAGCAGATTTGCATTTATGTTTACATTTGACCTTAATTTCTTAAAGCTAGTTCAATATATTTGGATCTAATTTGTTTTCTTTTTATTTATAGTTATTCATGATAAAGTTGATGGTTAAAATTCAAAATATCAATTTTTCATAAGGGTTTGATAGCAACATCTTAGAAATCATTGTAAAATGTACTTTGAATATGTGTATTAGCCAAAATATCAGTATCGGAAATGTTTTACTCCCTAATATAAGAATCAGCTAACTAACATCGACCTTAGAATCAACTTCACAAAGCTTCAGAATCACAAGATAAATGGAAATAAGTTGCAAATCTATTCTGAGTGATGCTCTTCATTTAATGATGAGACGTGTCCATCCTGATTGCAGTTGTCTCCTCCGGGAAGACGATGACTCGTCCTGAGAGCGTAAGTGTTGAGTGAACACTCGACTGAGAGGGAACAGATTTCAAACGGCTCAAGCACTTCGCCGTCTGAGACACCACAAACGTCTTTCCACTATCGTTCATTCCGAGGCATGAATATTGCTGTGGCTAACTTAGGTCTAGCAAACAGAAGTGGATGTGGGATGTAACCAATCAGTTAGATGAAACAGTGTGAGGGCCACAAACACCAGCTTCTTCTTTTTATTTATTAATTGATGCTATGGAAACCTGAAGAGGATTTCAACAGATAAGGTCAGCCTTAGATTGAAGCAACAGCTGCTGCAGGGGGACTCAAACCTTCCGTACATGAGGCACCTGCTCAACCAGGTGAACTCTTGTACTTTCAATCAAGAGACAATTCCGCCAAACCTCTTACCATGAACAAGAATTCCTTCATCCACCAGGACCTGCCACATCCCAACGGCCTGACTTCTCCACTGGAGGCATTCGTTTTGTTTCATCAGCCAGTCGACGAGTTCTTTACCAGAACAACATTGTCTGGGAGAGAAATTTACCAACACATCAATTTGCATGTAATCTACGGACTCGTCCTCCTTTGGACATGAGAGAAATCACAGCAGCAGCTCAGGTACCTGTAGGTTTTGAGGTGATACTTTCTATCTCGGATCAGACCTGCGTTCCTCTCCATCAGGACGCTGTACACGGACCTGGCTGCTTTCACGACGCGATCTGAAAGAAACTGGATAAACAAGAAACAAATGTTACTGAGCAGTTAAACAATCATCTATTTTTTTTTATCACTTTCCTGTTTTAGTTCTGAATGTTTCATGTTGTGTTCCCTCTGAAGCCACGAGGAGAAAACGTGTGACAGGCCTGTTTAGATAAAGATGGACATGCAACACAAAGACAGAGACAGCCACCGCATGGAAATCATGTGTGAGGGTATGGACGTCAACAGCGTACATACCCACAGTGAGTGGAGATTTCTGTGGGTGTCGGACTGTAACGTGTGTGTGTGTGTGTGTGTGTGTGTGTGTGTGTTGCACAGACAGTTGGAGTTCCCAGCCTCTGCAAACTCCCCCATCTGCCACAAACTTTCACTTTCTGACCACCCTCAACTGACAAACCTTTGAACGCCCCTCGGTTGATTTCCCACTCACCCACTCACCCACGCACTCACACACACACACAGTCAGGTCTGCTCAGGTCAGGTGTAAAAACAAAAGGGTGCAGCAAGGGGTGCAAAACCTGTCAGCCACTGATGCAGAAACGAGGCTTACGTAACAAGAGTGTGCTTTGTTTTCTGCTGTGATGCTGCCCGTCCTTTTTCAGGCCATTTCATGCTCTTTCTGCTTCGAAAACAAAACTGCCTCCAAATACCGTCCGACAACATTAAGCATCTTAATGATTGACAAAAATGTAACATTAATATTTCCCTCCTCCCTGCTAACGCCCCCCTCCCCTTCCTTCTCCTGCACCCGGTCTTGTGATTCCATGAGTGACTCAGACTGTTGCCTGTTTGTTCTTTGGATTTCCCTGCAGGGCACTGCTGTTTGTCCAAGGCGGTGGTCTCTAAATTCACAGAGAACCCAACACACTCCATTTCCCTCTATTCTGTCTGGATGAGCGGAGTTGTGACAACGTAATGGAGCTTGACGCAGAAACCAGACCTGCACCATCTGCCTCCTCTGGTTTCCCGCAGCTCGATCGGGTTGTAAAAACCTTGAGTGACCTTTGACTGACGCAGGGACCCCACGCCTTCATAACACCACAACACAAGCTCTGCTCTGGAGGCCCTGACGCACGCTCGTTAGATCCAAGTTCACGCAGGTCTGCTAATTATACTGAACAACTATAACAGACTACTGTGGGTAGCACTGTGTGCCACACACTTCAACCTATCATCCCCCACATCAGCCTGTTCCCAGACCTGACATCTGAAGTGACTGCTGTGCCCCGCTGGAGCTATGTTGTCTGGAGGTCACAAGTATTCCCAGGGGCTTGTTTCTCCCCCGGGACTCCCATAGTCCCATTCTCAGGCATGTCAACTCCAAATCTGGTTTTCTTGATGAGGCTATTTTCCATGACCTAACCCAGCTCTTAGAAAAGCAATATCAAAAGCCATATTTCATTCAGAGGGCTTGGCCTTCACTGGGAAACCTGAACGATAAACTAAAAAATGTTTTTTACGGAGCCGTGGAGAAGCATCGGTTAGCGCTGTTGGCTTACAGCAAGGTTTGAATCCCTGTTAACCTTTCTGGCATGTTCTCTGTGTCTGTGTGGGTTTAATCCAGGTACTCCGTCTCCCACGGTAGGTGTGAAAATGGGCGTGGCCTGTGCAATAAACTAGGACTGGCTCCACCTCCACCTTGACCCTTAAAATCATTTTCCTTGTACAAACGTTTGAATCCTGATGAGCCTTCCTGTGTGGACTTTGAAAGCTTTCCCTGTGTCTCCCCGGGTTTTCTCTGGGTTCCTCCCACGGTCCAAAATCACGCACATTTGGGTCGGGTCGATCTGAGACTCTAATGGATGTGAGAGGGAATCATTTATTTGAGGCCCTGAGATACGCTGCACCCCGCCCCTCGCCCTATGTCAGCTGGGATCGGCTCCCGCTCCCTCCTGCGACCCTCGAAGATAACAGATTTAGATAACGGATGAATTTCAGAGCTAACTGTGGTGAAATCTGTTGTTAATTGTCTGCGTGTAGGTTAGCTAATCATGTACAGGGACTATAACCCACTGGTGATTGTTCTTTTTGGGTCAAATTACAGCTCAAACAGTGCTGATGATATAAACTCTGTGTGTAGATGTGGAGCGACTGACACTGAGGTGTGGGTTTTACTGTTAATGTCATTTTACAGTGAAGTGCCTACATTATATAAACCGTCTTAAGACTACTGTTTAAAAGTTTATCATCAACTTGATATTGGTTTAGACTTTTATATGGGCTTACTCTCTTTACACAGCCTTTACAGTTTGCTCAAACACTTGTCAGCACAGCAGATGCTGAGTATCACACAGCTGTGACATAATCGATCTGTTGAAGAAATGATTTATATCACAGTAATCTTACGTAACTGGTCCCTCGTGGTTCAGTTTCGTGTGCTTGTCTTGTTGAGTGGAAAGATGATGAGTAATATCCAGCGTGTGTCTCCACTGTGGGCGAGAGATTTTCTCTGTGGTGACCTTGTTAAGTTACAGTGAGATGCAGCTACAGATGAAAACAGTGTGAGTTGACAAGGAGCTTAATGCAACTCTGCAAACTTTGCTTTAGCTGTTTCCCCTTTTCTCTCTTTTTCTCTTCTCAATCCAACATGCTGAGGCAGACATCCACCCTTCCTAAGGTCTCGAGATTTTCTTTTTCACTGTCGCCATGTGTGCTTGCTGTTTGTGGGAACTGTCTGATTCCTCCATCCTCCTTCAAAGTGCCTTTAGATAATGTATGTTGTGATCTGTCACTATACAAATGAAACTAAACTGAACAAAAGTCGAAGTTTATTAAAAACAATCAGTCTCGCTCGGTGCTATGAGAACGTGTGATGCTCATTAGTGACTTTTAAGATCTGGAGCCGACTCTTGCCGGGCAACAAAAAAACAAATCTCCGAGAGGTTAGAGACACCTGCCTCTTGCAGACTCTAATACTCCATCCAATCTATTTCCTGCCTCCAGCACAAAATGAAATTCTCAGGCATCGATTCTGTGGAGGCTGAAAGATGCTCTCTACTACTACTGATATCTACTTTCTCTCTCTGAGGGGGAGACAACCAAATAATAACCATCATTTCCACGTCAAGCCCTATTATAAGTGCTTTAAAGGTTCTCTCCTTTGTGTGCTGAGGGTCTGAGATACAGAGGTGTAAGGGGCCGGGGCCGGGGCCGGGGCCGGGGCCAAAGCTGAGGCCGTGGCCAGGTGAGGTAGGACTCAGGAGGTCAGGGGATGGTCATTTAACAGTGAATGCTGAAGAGCCCTTTAGACTCCTTGTGACTGCGTGTCCCGCGAGGAATGTGTTTTTAAGACTCGCCTGAGTAGCAACGCAGGATATTATAGCAACAGAAGAACAAGTTCAGCAGTTTGAGAGGATGCAAGCGCTGCAACCCTAAATGATAGCAAAGGTCAGAGCAGCTCTGAGCCACCAGAGCAAACACAGAGGTGAATCAAGGGCAGTGCCAACCAATGTTAACAACTGTGAGCAACTAAAGAGACAGATAAAGAAGTCGAGGAGTCTGATGCACTTATAAACCTGATAATGACAGTAACACCGGGGTCTTGAATAAAAACCTCTAAAGGATATCACTTAATAATATTTAACCCTGATTACTAATAGTAACATTCAGCACTCAGATACGTCCTTTACATATTAATCAGAGGGTATATATGGTTATTTAAACTCCTTTCCTGTCACTGCTGTTCAGAGCCGGAGTTGAAGAAAACCCACATCTACTGCAGAGTCATTCGACCTGGGAGTAAATGTTGATAGTGTTAACAGTAGCATCTATTGCCATTGCAGACAAAAGCCAGATGTTAGCAGGTTGTTTGACCGGTGCTACAGGAGCGTGCATACCTACAGTGATGAAGTATGAATTCAAAAACTGAATTTTTATTTGGATCTTCACCAAACTGCACAAAAACAAAATCAGTCATTGTCCTGGATTCTTTCTTGACTTACATCACATCCTTCCACCAAGTTTCATGGTAATCTGTCAACAGACAAATTAACTTCATAACCACTAATAATTAACTCTGACAACCAAAGCTCATATTAATTAATTAATGTTGCAGGAGATGATGTTTTGCTTGAGACTTAATGAATCACAGTTTTTCCCCTGACACCGTGTCTCTTCTAATGTCCAACAGGAGTTTAAAAACACAAGTGAGAACATTAGATTACAGTTCGCTGTAGGGAGGTGATGCACCAACACATAGCTCACACACACACACACACACACGCACACACACACACACACACACACACACACGCACACACACCTGTTTCATCGTGTCCTTTGAATCCAGGGCCTCTGGCAGTGGAGTCTGGGAGAAACAGAAAGAGAGACGTTATCACCGCGGAGCCGTGTCTGCATATCTAAA